AATTTGTATTAAACTAGACAACAAGGAAAGAGTAGTTCGAAAGGTTGGAATTCAAATTAAGTAAGAGTGCGTTCACACTTGGCGCCAGCTTTTCCAGCGATAATCGATACCTGTATAGTTTCTTTTTGTAGCAAAAAGTAAAGCTATAAGCAAAACAGATGGCTCAGGGGAAATGTGCAACAATTATGGCTAGTCTTACTTGTGTCAAAAGGAACTTGCACGGGCACCGACTGTTAAAAGAATGAATCATACACTTCTCCGAATGACTACTGGTGGATACAATTGTTATCAAGATCAGAAAACAAAAAAAAACTACTGGAAAGGCAGAAGTGGATGTAATGGATGGATACACTACTCAATGCGTAATAAGAGAAACTTGTTATTCAAACCATACTTTCCGAGAACTTCTTTCCTTCAGAACAAAGGAAAAAAAACAGAAGAAGGAAATAAAACAGTGGTGAGAAAAATCGATTGATTCGAGCCCCGGGGACGGGTCACTTGGCAAAAAACCTAGACATGAGTTAGAATAAGACAAGCGATGAATGAGGTACATTGTAAAGAACAAACAACCGATAATGACGCAAAAGGTGACGTAGTGGGATTAGTAACGTTTTTTTCTTTTTGAATGTAAGCAAACAACAATACCATTGCAATGAAGGCAAGGGTAACGGAATACACAAATTAAAAATTTGACACTGAAAAATCTCAAGAGGATTTCGAACTAGAAATCGTGGAACTCTCAACCCAAGCATCGACATCGGCCGATGCCCGGCTGGTCCGCAATTACCGGCGCTGACCCGCTGCGACGCGTCGTTCTGCACCCTCCCCGCCAGCACACTCTCTCATCACTGTCGCGTCGCGTCGCGGCGACCAACACAACTCGGCGATTACCGTGTGGGCGTAATTTTTGTTCGGTCCACATGTCATACTTGTGTGGTACATGCCCCACCGTTATTTACCTGCACCCGAGTCGGCCACATGGCCTTGATCTTGCGCTCAGGCTCGGGTGTCCCTTGTCTTTCCACCTCGAATGGGGGATAGGTGTGTTCATTATACCTACTTCGCAGGCTGAGAAATTACCAACGAATGAGGATCGTTCTGATCTCTGGAAGTGGGGTGGGTCGTATTTGCCTTCGTATACCCTCGCTCAACGGCAGTTTTTTTGAGGAAAAAAAAGAGGGAAGGGAGAAAACTTAGTAAGACACTTTAGTAAGATGGGTGGGTAGGCTGGAATGCACTAGGGGTATGTCGTACTTGCGTCTGTTGAGCGTCCGCTTCCTGCCCTTTTTGACCTCACCATAGCACCACAGTACGCGAAAGATGTGCTTCTTCAACCAGCGGCACATCTTGTTGGATGAGGTGTCGAGTGTCTCCGTACGACCCCCCCTTCTTTTTAGGGTTGGTACGATCAGCCCTCCCCCCTTTCTCATCCTACCCCAACCCTTTTTCGCTTCTTCCTTAGAATTTCGCCTCAATTCCTCCCAGCGTTTCCCGAACTTTTTCCCAAAACCAGTTTTCATAACGTGTTTATGCCCCACAGCAAATTTTGCTGCCGTGCGGGGGGGGGGGCTGAAAAGCCTGAAACAGACAGGAAAAATCGCGATAAAGTCAGCAACCTGTTTCTTAAGGTTACAGGGGAATAAGACCGACATCCCCTCCCTAACAATGAGCAAATATGCCCTTCGTTGACAACGTCCCTAAAACGCAGAAAACTCAGCGTATCAAAAAAATTTGCTTTTTCTCGACAAGTACGAGGGGGGCGTCCCCCCCTACCTCCTGTTTCTCGGCGAAATCCGCCTTCCTCCCCCCGCCAACTCAATGTGCTGTGCCTTGCTTACTAGCAGCGAAAGAAATTTTTGGGATACCCGGGACGGTGGCTCTAAGTTCTCCGCTGTTTTCCTTCGCCTGAAAAATTCGAGAAGGCCGAAGTGTCATGGGTCGCGAACAGAGCGTTGAGGCAACAAGTGATCACGGATGTGCGTTTACGCTCTGTGCGGGAGGGGAAGGGGGTGTACAGTTAGAGAAGATTGGCGGGGGGCGGGTCCTGGTGGATAGGGATGGGTTCGGTATTGGAGGGGGGACTTTTGAAGGAGGTCGTTGGTCGTTTCGAAGCACTCAGGATTCTCCCATTTCCGATGCTGCCATCCCTTGCCTTCGAATGACCACACCTGCCGCAGTGGGCCTTAATGTCCCATGCGTAACTGCATAGGAAGGATTGGAAAGCAGCGGGCGCCAAAGTTTCCGTCTTTTGTCGTACTTGGATCCAAGGTGGAGTTTTTTCGATGTGGGTTAACTGCCGCCGTCCCCTTTCTAAGGCAACCGGTATGCTCTCTGCTTCATTGTCAGCGCCGCCTCCGCCCTTCCCCGTCTAGGGCAAAATTCTGGCAAGCGAGGGCGAGATGGTATGTAGCTCAAAAGTGCCATGGTAGTAGCCACCAGTGGCCAAATCGAAGCAGAACGGCTCATTGACATCATGGACCTGGCAACATTATTACGAGATCAGAAAATGGGCGAATGGAAACAATCACTGTACTCTTGGGGCTCACCATGGCTCTCGGGGAAATGTTCCAAAATCCGCCCCTCCTCGAAGCACTGCTAGGGCTTACTATGGTGCTGAGGGGATGTTCAGAATCCGCCCCCTCCTCGAAATTCATCGAGCGTGGATAGGGAGAAGAGTCATCCGATCGACCGTCAAAAATAGTATAAGCCTAGCGCTGCCGACTAGGAGGCACAGGGGATACGGAAAGGGTTTGAAGCGGGAGAGTCACCAGTAAAAACCACCACTTACCTTAGAACATTTCAGGGGTTTCAGAAAATGTAAGACTGGGTTTAGGCTTGCTTAAAGTGAAACAAATGAACGTTAACCTCTAGCACCCCCATCACCTCTCATCTAGCGGTGAGAAGCCCCAGCGTGAAATGTGCACTGATTCCACTGTCCCCTGGCCACCGAGTCTCAGGCAGGGCACGCCATCGCGTTGTGATAAATTTCTGTAATAATTACGACACCCCCTGAAACGGTTCCGTACGAGCCCCCCCCTGTCCGCTGCTAATATGGTACACTCTAAATCCCTAAGATGGGGTAGGCGTGGCTGCTTACTCCAACTAAA